TGACCACTCTCTAATTCTAGAACAGTTTCATTCATTGCTCCAAAAAGAAACTCTGCACCTATTGTCTTTCCTTCAGTCCCTAGCAACTACTGTTTTAATTTAATTAATTAATTTACATTTGTGGAGCTGGGGATTGAACACAAGGCCTATATCCCTAATCCCTTTCTTATTTTTGATTTTAAGACAGGCTCTCAGTAAGCTGCTAAACTGCCCAGGCAGGGATTGAACTTTGGATCCTCCTGCCTCAGCCTCCCTGAGTGCTAGGATTACAGGTGTGTGCCACTGCACCTAGCTTGATTTACTTTCTGTCTCTATGGATTTGCTTTTCCTGGGCAACTTATATAAGTGGAATCATGGAGGCTTTTGTGACGGCTTCTTTCCTTAGCATGTTTTCAGGGTATGCCCACATTGTAGCGAGCCTGTATCGTTGCTTCATTCCTTCTCATGGCCCGATAACATTCCTCTGTGCGGATATACACATTTTGTTTATCTGACCTCCAGCTGATGGGCATGTGGGTCGTTTCTACTTTGGGGCCATTATATAGATGCCTGCTATGAATATAGTTTTCAATTCTTGATGGGATGAAGAAAAGTGGGGAGAGGTTTTCCCTCAAAAATGACAAAACACTTGGCCTGGAGAGCTCATGGAGACTAGAATCCATAAGCAGAGAAAGAGAGAGGTGAGGCGCCAGAAGGGGAATCCCAGCTCTCTGGCCCGAGCCCCACAGTGGGTTCCTGCACGCTGCCTAAGCAAGGGAGAGAATTCCGACAACCTCGTTAGATGCAAGAAGCGCACAATGGCGGGACTGTAACTTGAGTACTTATGTTAGAATGCGTTTCTCCAGGCTTTTCTCAGTTGTTTCTGTCTCAAGTTGTTGTTTTTATGGGAGTTTATAAATAGCACGGCTTTTGTTTAGAAACCTGACTTACTGGCCTTGATTAGCATCGCATGTTCTCAGTTTGCCAAGCGGGTTGCTCATCTGGACCCCGCCCGGTACCCTCTCTCCATGTTATCTAAGAGCTGAGTTCCTCTTGGGAGTCCCAGGGGGCCTCACACTGGGGACAGAGTCCAGGAGGGCCCCTGATGTGGGCCAGGCCTTCCATGCCACAGGGTTCTACTGGGCTTTCTCTAGCCCGTGCCATGTAGATTTGAAGTTACCCTGTGCTTCTTTTCTCTTTTACTGCTTTTGTGGGGTGCGTTGATAGTTGTCACATATAATTTAGTACATGAACAGTATAAGAAAATAAGATAGGATTGTGACCAGAGAGGAGAATGGAGATCAGGCATTTGCCACTGCAGCTGACGCTGACAAGTTCTGACTGGTTCCTTTGGGAAACAGGCTTTCTCTTGTGTAGGGATGGACATTCTATGCCGGGCAGGAGCACCATTATGTCTTAGAAGCATGAGGAGGATATTGGATACCTAAGGGGATGGACTCTGGAGGACGTTTGTTTTTGCTCTTTGAGACACCCCCAGCTCAGCAGGCAGAGGTCATTTCCCACATCTCACACTCCAGCATCCAGAGGCCAAACGCTCGTGTTCCCAGCATCCTTTGCAGCTAGGCAAGGGCACGCGAGCCAGACAGTGCCAAGGCCAAGCATCTGTTCCTGACTCTGATTGGAACTCAGAGATGCCAAGTGCCAGGGGTTGTACGGGCTTGCTATAGTGAGGGGGAAGCTGCAGGGCAGCCCCAGGGCCACCGACAGTTCACACTGTGCTCTGGGCTCAGGGTCACTGCCAGTGTATCCTTAGGGACAGCTGTGAGGTGGGATTTGACAATTCTCCTGACCATACTACTCTAGAGGGACCATGGTTGCTACAGGGCACCCCCATTTTGTTTGGGGAGGTGGGAGCAGGAAGGGGAAAGGCAGTGCCTCCACTGTGCAGAATTGTCTGCCTGGCATTAAATGAGGGGATGCATTTAAAGCCTCCGTACTGTGAGGCTTATTTTCAGCACATTTCTACCATCACATCGTGGACTTGTTATTGAGCGCCACATGGGCAGGTCTGAGACAACAGGAAGTGCAGATTCATGTCTCAAAGCCTTACAGTTGGGGTAAAAGGGTCTCTGTTTAAGCACTGAAATAAGTGCTTACTGCTAGCAGGGGGTTTTGTTATAATGGTCTGAGAGACTAAGACAACTGCATATTTACCCTTAGAAAGGCTATGTGAATAGCTGGATGTGATTAGAGAAATCATTTGGATGGATTAACACATACACAGGAATGCTCCCAAGTCACCTACTGGGGCCAGCCACGGTGCTCATTATCCGGAAGTGTCTGTAGCCATAGTTTCAGGTTCAGACACAGCTACCTGAGACTCTGAGGTTACTCATGTTGCTAATGTTAGATTTCAAGCCCACAGAACAACTGCACCATCTTCTCCACACCCGGCTCTTGTTTGCGGTACCACATCCACCCAGGTGCCCAACCTCGAGACTGGCTGGTCCCTGGCTTCTCCCTCTAGGCACCTGTGCCCAGCCATCTCATCTTCCTGTTGGATATGTCTGGGTTGCTGCATTCTAAGGTGTCATGTGGCTCTTCCTCCAATGTGGACTTCTGTTGGAAGTCCAGGTCAGCTTTTAGGGGAATCTTGGCCTGAGATCTCTCGTTGCCCAGAAGAGGAATCTGGGGGCTCTGGGACTAACCAGACAAGGACCTGAGAGTGCGCTTAGATGAAGACTGACCTGTGGACCTGTGGACGCTGGGGATGGGTAGCGCTCTGGAGTTCCCAGAACAGGGCATAAATTGGTGCCATGAGTCCATTCTTACCCAAACAATTCCCGTACATTATGAAGAGATGCCAAACCTGCCAGACACTGTCCCTGCTAACTTCAGGGTGGCAGACCTTGCTGCAATGACACAATCACATTGGTTTCTGTGTGCAGGGTCTTGAGCAGGGTATTCCCTCATAAATGAGCCCTTCAGTAGATCAGAAGTCAAGGAACATGCAAGGGAGGCTGCTAATTATGCCCTAACAATCATTGCCGCTTCTTCAATAAACCTGTATTTGGGGTATGTTGCATTCCATCCAGAATAAAGACATTTCCTTTCTTGCAGCTAGCTGTGCCCATATGATTAAGTTCTGGCTAACTGTATATAAATCAGAGTAGTATATGTAACTTTGATGAAGTATCCTTAAAGGGAAAGTAAAAAGCACCACCCCCGCCCTGCACCTTTTTTTTCTGTCCAGAATGTGTGCAAGATGGCTAGAGCTGGAGTAGCCATTTTGGACCATGAGATGGAAGCTGTATCTAAGAACAGTAGAGAGAATTTTACACCTGAAAATGAGATGCTGCAAAAAACATCTACAAGGTGGCAATGGTTCAATGGAACTGGTAGGCTAGCAAGTAGCAGAAAGACGGAATACTTTTTATGTAGTGGCAAAACATTTCATTGAATTGTTTTCTGCAGTATCTTGGAAGGCTGACCACATGCTGACTGAGGCACAGTAGCAGAGGCAACAGTGACAAGGTGCAAAAAGTGAATGCTGCTCCTTGCTGCTTTTTACAAGGTCCTGGAAGAGCAAGGCAAACAGAGGCTTGAGCCAGACAGATGGCAAGCAGAGATGGGAAGTGGGGTCGTTGATTAGAGTCTTGATGTGTTGAAACGCCAACTTGTCTCCCAAACCGCAGCTATTACGAACCACTGCCTTGAAGTGGGAGATAGATAATAAGGTCTGGGTGAGCAGCAAAACTTTCCTGCCACCCATGTGAACCAGGTAGCTCCACAGGCCAGGTGGAGGATGTTGCCTGCCCACCTAAGCTGCTGTCGGGATGGCCTCAGGGCAGCTGCCTTAAGGGGAGGAGTTTCCAGCAGAGCACAGAGCCCAGTCTAGAAGAATCTGTATCCATGGAATTCTGCTGGCGAAGGAAACACAAGCCTCCTCTTCCAGAACCATGAGAGCGTCCTGGTGGACCTCCCTAAACTGCCCCAGGAGCAGGTAGGCTACACAAGCTGTGCTGTCCCCAAGAAGGCCATCCTCTGCAGTCTCACCTTCGATGTGGCCACATCAGGGCCAGGCAGAATGACTGCCAGGAGCTCTGCAGGGACCGGCTGACGGCCAGGCCACCTCATGCCTCTGTGAGCCGTGAGGGGCAGGTGCTCTGGGCTTCCCCTCCCCCTCCCATGGATGAGTGTTCCCTGGCTGTTTTGTTTCTACCTCACTACTGCTCGTGGGCTGTGTGTGGGGAAGATAATTGCCTTTTGGTTTTTAAGTCATTAGACCATAAAAAGCCCCCAGAGCAAATGAGGAGGATTGCAAATCATCACAAAGTAGTTTCAGCTTTAGCTTCATGCTGTGACTGGGTGGGGTTTGTTCCCCTTGGGGAGAGGTGGCGTGGGCTCCATGTGGGGAAAAAGGGCAGCTGCAGGGCCGAGCTGTGACAGAGTCCATCAACTGTCCCTCAAACTCATGCTTCCCTTATTTCTCTGAAACAGACACCTCAATTTTAGTTAAGCACATGGTTTCTTGGAATAAAATTGACTCCTTCAGAGCAGGTTTGGCCCTGTAGTTCAATCTTGTGCAACAGATGTACAACATCCAAATAATTCCCCCTAAGGAAAGGGGTCTTGTTTCTCTCCTCCCTGTTCCTCTTTCCTGACAGCACGTGAGCATGGCTGGCAGCCATCTTGGACCTTGAGGTCCAAGGTGTAGTCTGTAGGTGGGAGCAGGTCATGCTGGACAGACCTGGGGCCCTGCTGGTCACCGAGCCATACTGTGAGTCTGCACAATGCAGGGTACATTGTACTTGGTGTAAGCTGTGGTTGTCATGACAGAAGAACCGAATTCTGATCTAGAATCTGCCGCCCCAGGGGAAGGCAGAGACAGGTAGCGTGTGAGGGAGGCCACGCCCCTAACTCGAGGGAAGGTGAGATGGGCAGAGCACGCTCCTCCAAAAGACGTGATGTTAGGAAAAACAAAAAACCCAAACGAAACAAGAAAACATCTGCAGAAATCTGACATTCATAGGAATAAAAAATGTCAACAGACGACAAGAGTGTTGCATAGCTTGAGTGTTTTTATATTGATTAAATTGTTTTTCAGTAGTCACTGACAGGACAGGTCAGAATGAAAAACATTCCAAATTTACAGGAAAAAATATTGCTGATTAATTAAGATACTTTTCAAAACAACATGGCTTAACACAATCCTTTGGTTGCTCCGAACAGTGCGCGAGCTCTTAAGACGGCGGGCTCAGTCTGGCACCTGAGGGGCTTGGCTTCCCAGGCTGATGTCACCTTTACTGACACTGCTTTTAGCCGGGTTGACAGGCAGAAGTCAGAGGGCGGCGATCCTTGTTTTCCCATCCAACAGTGCCGAGGTCTGAGGGACAACCTTGCAGGGAAGAGTCACAGATACGAGGTACATCTGTCTCTGGCAGCTGTGCCGATGTGATGAAGGGTTTTTTGCTTCTCTGGAGTATCAGACCCCCAGAATGGCAGATCTTGAGCTCCTCCTGTGTAATCATCTCCTTATACATAAAACGAAACCAAGGGCAATGCATCTTGCTAAGTCCAGATCTGGACAAGTCCTGCTTTTTGCAGAAGCCTCTTTGCTGCTTATTGCTGCCCTAGATAATAATTTCTGAGGGACAAAAACAGGCCAACCAACAACAGAGCAGCAATAGCATCTACACTAATCTCAGAGCATATTTAAGTATGAATTGCTGCAGCAAGAAACGCAAGACAGGTACCAATTTGGGATTCAACTACCCCATCTCCTTAGCCCAACCAAACTGAGCTGAATCTTTTTCTTTGCTAAGTCAAAACAGGGAGCATAGGTGCTAAAGAGTGACACCAGTGGGGCCCTCTCATCCCAGTTAAGTCTGCACATCAGTGTGTCTAATTAGATCTTCTGAAGGCACCAGAAATGTCCTCTCCATTCACACCCAGCCAAATTTCCCAGGCAAAATATTTACCCTGACTCTGATATGGTGTTTCACTCAGGAAGGGGCTTCTTAAGAACTGCAGACATTCATAAAAGAAGGGGCTGTGGATTTTTACTGGTAATATATACAGTGTTTACTTGTATATTTTGCTCCTTTAGATAATTTTCTTGTCTTGTTCCTCCCAGGATTTCATAGATTTTCTTCCTGGCAACGTCTGCAGGGTCTGAATTGCTGGTCTGCACGGTGGCAGAAAAGGTTGGCTGAACTTTCCGCAAGCTTTTTAGAAATGTACATCACCATAATGACAGCATTTCTGCAGCCACACGAGTTTGTTTAAAAAATAATAAAACATCATCTTGAAAGACATTTAGACTTCTCAAGCTTTTACACATAAGGTGGTGATACACTTTTATTGAATGGCTAAATTTGCTAAACATCCTGATGGCATTTAAATTTATGTCAGCACCCCTCCCCCTTTTTTCTTTTTGGTACTTTGCTGAGAGCACTTCTTTCTGGGTCCAGACTGAACAAAGGTCTAGTGTAACATTCTTTGTACTTCTGCTCCACCCTTCTACAAGAACATTTTTCTCTCATATACCTTACTCGACCCCACTTCTGTTTGATGTGTTTTGGGGCTAATCACAGAGAAATTAGCTTTTCCAAGTAACTGATCCAACAGCAGTGTCAGTTTATACTCCAACTGATGAAAACTCACATTCATAGCATGATCTTACCCCGTTTCCATGTTCAATCAGAATAGCTAGGTACTGTTTTTCTGATTTCATAGACAAGGGAAATGGAGGCACAGCTCCTCGGTGCCTGAGGTGAGTGCTAGTTAGTGCCGAGGGGGAGCAGGAACCCGATCTCCCAGCCCTCAGTGCTAGACTTTCTATTACTTTCTTGTCACACAGCTTAGAGTTATACACTGGGAACTGCCTCCTACCCAGGCCATTTAGCAGTAAAATATGCACAGGGAAAAGATAGGCAGTGTGCAAGTAAATATGCTGGATCTGTAGATAAAGAACCTTTAGAAACCTGGCTCTGTCTGGGGGTCCTTATCACTCCTGCAACCAGGAAATGATTCAATTGGTCCAGAGTTTCCTAATATTAAAATGGTTTCATCTCTGTAGGCTATAACATGAAAGTGTTCTGTAAATACCATTAACAAACTGGCTTAGCTTCCTTTCCTGCAGACACAAAAACTGCTCTTTAAAAATACCACATTAAAATGTTTATGTAATTTATTTTCCTTAAATAATATTTTGCTACAATCCTGTCACAAATTTTAAAAAAAATTTAACATAGTATTCACAAAAGCAGAATTCTTTAGGACAATCAAAATCTCAGGGTACTTAGAATAAATTAACATCGAATTGTGTTTCCGTTCAGACAGTTTGATACTCTCCTCTGAAATGAAATGGAGACCATTGTAACTGAGGGTGAATGCACACATCTGTTCTTCTGTACAGAGAATCATGTCTTCTATAAACTCAAGGGTAATTTGAATCAAGTTAGGAATCCTGAGAAACACTCACCTGTGGAGGGCACACACACACGCACACTCACACACACGTACATACCCCCAGGGAACCCTTGAGAAGCAGGGTTTCCCATGGTCACTTACTAGCAGGTCTTTTCTCAGAAGGGCCAAAGATTCTCAATGCTATCATCCCCTCCCACTCGGGAAAACCCTCCTGTCTTGAGTGTGACAGCATGAAGTAGCAGCAATCCATGTAGCAGATTCAGTAGTCAGGGATCCAGGCCTGGAGTCTGAGTGTACAGTAAGAGGCAAGCGAGGCAAGAGACACACCTGCTTCTGGAGCTAAGACGGGATCACACCAGAGTCCCGGCTGGAATTGGCCTGGGCAAGCATCATTCGCTGCGTGTGAACAGAGGGGCAGCGCTGGGGAGAATGAGCTGCTCTGGACGCAGCCTCAGGAACCGAGTACTAACCGGGGCAGGACAGAGATGCAGGAGGAGTGGGCACAGCAGAGGCACTGCTCATCCTTCAGCCTGATTCCTGGTGCCCTGTGCTGCTCTGCTCCACTTGGGAGCACAGGACACACAGCCCTCAGCACCCTGCACACAATACAATACCTGAGCAACTGCACACAGCCCATCACCTGGCTTCTGGGACGTGTGCGGCGCTGCAGAAGAACCCTCCCAGGTGCCCCAAGACGTTGACACGGGACGGTAATGTGTAGGAAGGAAGGCAGTGGGACAGGTCCCACACTGAAATCCCCTTGTGCTTCTTTCTCTGGGCTTAAAGGAAGCCATAGTTGCATGCGTATCTATACCTATGTACACAATACCTTTTCTACAGAAACTTAAAGTGCCTGGGTTCAAATCTGCTCATTCCCTTCCCACAGCTCCCGGTTCCTCCTGTGGCCTCCGGAGGAAGGCATGTCCCCCTCTCTTCAGAAGGGTGCCCTTGGGGACAAGGAATGAACGCTTCACAGTTGTCCTAACTGGGATCCAGCATCTGGACCATGCCTTCTTCAAACACACGAAGAATCGCTTCACACACAAACTTGTACTGGCTCTGAAAAAGGAGAGACAGCTGTCAAGTCCAAGGGCCCCAGGACCATGACACATGCACGAGCTGTTTCCTGAGTGCCAACTCCAGGCGGGTGCCAGGGAAGAGCGGAGGCTGAGCATCTATGAACTTGTGGCCTCATAACTCCTACGTGGGGTGGGCTTCCCCAAACAGACATGGGGAGAGGGTTATAGAAATGGGGTGGGGACGGAGTGGCCATCTGGGGGAAGATGGGGAAGGAGCAAAGGTCCCTGAAGTGTGGCTCCTCATGTAAACAGAAGAACAGAAGCCCTGATGAGCGTGTTCCATTCTGAGAAGTGCAGGCAGAGTCCCATGGTTTTGTCCTGGAACACCCAAGCCTGTGTGTCCCACTCAAGTCTCTTACATATTCTTCTGTATGTCTAAAATGATCTCCAGACACTTATAATGCCAACATGATGTAAACAGTTGTATCGTATCGTTTACAGAATAAGGACATGGAGACAGTCTGAACATGGTCTGTACAGACACAAGTTTTTCTAATACAGTGGTACATTGGTTTATGACCTGAATTTGTTTTATGTTTTGGGGGAAGATAGCTATTTCTGTGTTTGGGGAAGATGGCTGTGGTCTGTTTGTCCCTTGATGCAGAGTTTGCAAACTGAACTGTTTGCAAACAGAAGCGCTTGTGAACCAAGCTGTTACTGTAATTTTTATCTGTGATTAGTTAAGTCCTTGGGTGTGGAAGCCATAGATACAGAGGTCTGACTGTATTGTTGTTGTTGTTGTTATTATTATTATTATTACTTTGTACCAGGAATTGAACTCAGGACCCTGCGCTTGCCAAGCAGGCGCTTGTGCCGCTGAGCTATATCCCTGGCCTGACTGTATTATTAACAAACATCTGAGAATGGTATCTTACAAAAGTGAACAAGAGAAAAACAAGAGCATTCAGATGAAATTTCCCAGCTAGGAAAATCTCCCCAGGTGATGGACTCTTCCTTTTTAACCACGAATGAGGTCTTCATACCATAAAACAGGGAAGAGAATGGTCTTAAATACAGAAGCTGGTTTTTTGCCTCTTAGTCAGATTTCCTGGTTATGAATATAAAGCTACAAGGACTCAGAGTCACAAGCCTGTGAGGACACAGCTGGCTGGGACGCTGGGTTCCTCTTCCTTTCTTTGCTAACTCCTTCTCACCAACATTAGGAATTGTGCGCCAGAGGCCGCTTGTCCAGAAAGCTTTCCTGGACTTTGCAGAGCCTGCTTCAGGCACCTGCAGTGTGTTCTCAGACAACCTGAACTTCCCCAACTGCTGCTGAGATCTGTAACAGACTAATCCAGTCCTCCTACTAGGTACGCACTTGGGTCTCTTCTACTTGCACAGTTATCTGCTGAATGAATGTGGGATGGTCTCCCACATTCTGCAGATGGGGAAACAGGCTTGGAGAGAGGTTAAGGGATTATTCAAAAATCACTCAATACATGGAAGAGCCTGAATCATGCTCTTTCTATACCGCATGGAGGCTTTTGAAATTGTGGGGTAGACCCCAGAGATATCCTCTTGAGTACACCTGCAGTGCCAAGCACCCAGGCACAAAGCAGGAGGGCAACAGCCCACTGGAGGAGAAGCAGGGAAGAACCGGGGCAAAAGCCTCAGTGGCCCTGCTTTACTCTGATGGACAAATGTCAAGGCAGATGTCCCGGGCAGTAAGACTTAGCAGTCAGATGGGTGTGGACTCTGGAGCTGTGGATCACCTGACAAGCTCTGAGACCTTGGATGAGGAACTCAGTCCTCTAAGCCCCCGTCTCTTGACCTACAGAGTCTTCCCTCAAGCCTGGCTCAGTGCAAGAACTCAGGAAGTGCTGACCACTGCTGCTATTTTAATTACTGGATTTCTACTCACTGATGTCTGTATCATCATGGCGCGCTGGTCTCGCATTTTTCGGACAATATCCAATGGACAAACTGGCAGATTTCTTTCAATTAAGCACATGGCTGTTTCCATAGTGACCAACACCCCAGTTCGACCTATTCCAGCGCTGGAAAGGGGAGAGAAGCAGAGTGTTGTGATCTGCCCAAGCAGCAATGCTACATTTTCCAGCTGAACCCCTGGTGGCTGCATTTACTCAGAAGGAGGCTTGGTCTTCAAGAATACAAAGCAGTCAGGTGTGGTGGTGTCTTCCTGTAATCTCAGCCCTCTGGGAGGCTAAGACAGGAGGACTGCAGGTTCGAGCCCAGCCTGGGCAACTAAGCCAGAACCTATGTTGAACTTAAAAAAAAAAAAAAAAAAAAAAAAAAGAGAAACGTAGTTCAGTGTGAAGGCGCTGGGTTCAATCTCCAGTACCACAAAAACAAAACAAAACCTAACAAAATAAAGCTAAACATAACAAAATAATACAAGGCACACAGTCTGGGTGGTCTCAGACCCGCAGAAAAAGCCCATCCTCAACCCTGAGGCTGGGGGATTAATGACCAATGGAGAGAAATCCAGCCACCATTACACCCAAACCCTCCTCCCTTTCTTATTCACATCTGGTGTGCAGGTCAGCAGACTTAAGAAGAGCGGGAAACATGTGGGTAAGACATTCCTCTTCAGCTCTGGGCTATCCTCAAATGTTTATTTCAGAAAATTCCAAATCTTTAGAAATTGTTATGAAAATAAAGTAAAATAAAATAAAATAAAATAGAGCTTTGTAAAAGCACATGATTTTATGGGACTGAGGGTGGGTTAGGTGTCTACTAATTACCTCCAGGCCTTTCCCAAGGGGTGTATGTATTAAAAATAAAGCACGGTAGGACAAATCATAGCACACACCTGCAGTGAACTAAGACTGGCTCCCCATCCACCCGCAGGGACCTCACAGAGTTCACAAATTCCAGAAAGTCTGAGGAATCATCAGGCACGCCATGGTCAGGCCACGCCACGTACTGTAGATGTGTCACTGTGTGCTCCTCCCCGGTCTGCAGAAGATGGAGTGGGCTGGGTGAGTCAATCCAGATGGTGGGCCCCGCCCCACCCTGTCTGCCAGGTGGCCCCGTCCCCAGTGTGCTCTCTCTCCGCTGCGCATAGCTCTGCTATGGCCTGTTCTTCCCTCTGTCCTCCTCACACCTCAGGCCACCTCTGGCGGGACGGCATTCCCGACCTCTGGCACGGTGATGTCTTCCTGGTGCTCCTACGGTACTTGTCACGTGGGCCGCAAACGCTGCCCCTTTTATAGTGACTGACTGTGGTGAGATACATGATGTTTACCATTTAACCATTTAAAAACGTAAGTTTCAGGGGCATTATGGGTATTCACAATGGTGTACTCCTCACCACTATCTCCAGAACTTTATCACCCAAACTCTGTACCCATTATACGGTACCTCCCCATTCTCCCTCCTCCCTGAAGCCCCGGCAGCTACCATTTTCTTTTCTGTCTGTAAGAATTTGATATTCCAGCTACTTCACATCAGTGGGACCCTAAGCATTGTTCTTCTGTGACTGACTTGTTTCACTTAGCAGAATGTCCTCAAGGTTCCTCCATGTTGTAGCTCGTGTCAGAATGTCCTCCCTTTGCAGGGCTTCCCCATTGTTTATTCATTATCTGTCTACCAACTCCCTCGCCCCGCTGTGAATGCTGTGGTCATGCACAGTGGCCGGGCTCCCTGACAGGCAGTTCTGCACATTTACTGGCATCCTCATCAGGTGCAAACAGAGCAGACTGGGATGGGTCCCCAACACCCACCCCCAGGACCACAGTGGTGCTGGTTTTCTACCTGTTTCTGTACTGTTCCCCCTCAGGTCACTGCTTACCTCAGTGTTTGTGACTCGCATTTCTCGGGACACATAGGCGATGGTACAGTCTTCTGACTGACACTGAATGTGAAAGATGCCGTGGTCCATAACATCAGGGGGATTGGGCCAGTACTGATGACACTTGGTCTGTAAGAAACCATGGAGCGTGTGAGCCCCCTCCATGGGGGTGCACCAGGGCAGTTAACCATGGACAGGCAGGCTGGTCAGGGGTCCGGCCAGGTATACCCAGCAAGAGCTGATAGGAGGAGAGAACTCGGGTAATGCCCATGTGCTTGGACTTATTCTGGGTTGGGGCAAACAGGAACTTCTATCCTCTTCAGCCTGCCAGGGGCCAAACCGCCCTGGGCCGCAGCCTGCAGGAGGAAGACAAGAGATTCCTTCTCTTCCTCTCCAGGATTCATTTGACAGAACAGAAGGGGCCTCAGGCGCAGGCCTGGCTTCTGAACAACTCCATCCACTCTCCCACTCTCTCAGGACAAGCCAAGTCCCCTCCCCTCTGCTCTCTGATCGCATCCCTCCCGCTCCTCCCAGCCTCTCAGGCACAGCAGTCAGGAGTGCACACTTGGGTGTCCACGGGACTCCTCCTCCATGCGTCAGACACAGGACTTCACACAAGTCAGCTTCTCCTTTCACTCGGAAGATGGAGACCACACCTGCCACACCTGCCTCACGCACACTGACAGGCTGCAGAGGATGTGCTGTGCTGAGCTCTGCTTGGTGTTCAGGTCAGAGGTGGCCTGCTGTTATCATGGGTTCTACATCAACCTGACTAAGGACGGTCAGAAATTCCCCAAAAATCCGAATCAGAAAATTCCTAAGCTGAAATAAATACCCTAACATTTCCCTCCAACGCTTTCATAGGTAATTCTCCTTGGAGCCAAGACTCCTTGCAGAGTAGCCTAGGAACCTGGGGGATGTATGTGATTTTGCCAAGGTCACAAGGTGCTGTGACACAGCCAAGTGTTTGTCCTGCAGCACATCACAGTGTCTCCTACTATGGCTGTGGCTTTTCTGACACAGTGGCTGATGCCGCTGCCCTTCCAGGGTTCTATCCCCTTACAAGCCCTACAGCTTCTTCCACAGACCGCTGTGGCTCCTGGCTCTGGCTTCCAAGCCAAATGCAAGGCTAAGCTGCCCACCCCATCACAGTTCCTCCACCAGTCAAATTCTGCCTCTACAGTTTTTTAAAGTGGGGGATGTCTTTATGTGGTCTAGGCTGGCCTCAGATTCCTAGAGTCAAGCAATCTTCTTGCCTCGGTTAGGACCGCTGCCATGTGCCACCAAGCCTGACTGGAAAAGAAAAACATTCCCTCCAGCCTAAAGTTAGACCATCTTTAGTAAAAATTATACTTGTTTACAGTGGAAAGGTGGTACAACCAACAGACACATGGAATTTGTCTGGAAACAGCTTTTCCAGCCTTATTTTCAAATATCACAGTGGAAATCTGAAATTAAAGGATGCTGCTGGGAAGCTGGAGTTGAGAATTTACTTGGAAACAGAGAATGTCATTATCTTGGTTAGGAGCCACTTCCCAACCTTCTTGGGCAAGGAGCAGCTGCCGTCTGTAGGACTGGAGGCACAGCCTACAAACACATGCCAGTCTGTAGCTATCCGTCTGTCTCCCCTCACCTGCGCAGCAGGCAAAACCTTCTGCCCTGCAGGCTGCCCAGGCTCTGACCCACAGGATACCGGGCAAGATATGCCTGAAGTGGTCAACTAGCACCAGGCAGACCTAAAAAAGGCTTGCACTCTTAGAGTATCTCTATTCTTCAGTGAATTTGACAGGAACTGGACTCCTTCTTGACCTCTGATCAATAGATATTAGGTCTTTGGATCCAAAAGCATGGGGGTGGTAGTGAAAAAACAAGAAGTTTGTGGGGGTACTGAGTTTCAGTTCTGGTTGATCAGTTCTACTAACCAACTGCGTAATCTTGAGCACAGCTGTGCATTTGGAAACTCATCTTCCACACAGCCGCTGCTGGTGTGGGTTGGGGGAGGGGGAATTACTAAAGCTCAGTATTTTCAAAGTAGTATATGTTAAGCACCGGAGGGCCCTTTCCATGGATATTATTTTATCGTGGGCTTGAAACAACTCCCTGGGGTGGGTGTTCTGTTATGCGTGTGAGAGAACAGGCTCAGAGAATGCCCTGACCTGTGTCAGGTCATGTGGATAGGAATGGCGGCGGAACCAGAGTTGCACTGGGCAGCTATGAACACAGCCAGGTGGATATGAAATGGGAAGAAAACGCAGCTGTGCAGGTGGTGGAGATGAGACAGGCCTGGCTCTGCAGGGAGGAGAGGGCGATGGTCAGCGCAGCTGGTCAGTGGGCGACTGGCAACTGGCTGCTGACATGCAACCACGGCAGATGCTGCCCCAAGAGCTCAGAATGCTGCCTCTCTGGGAATTCAAGGGCTGAGCAGGGACTGTTCCCTTCTAGTTGCAAGTTATCCAGTGGCTTTGCAAAGGGAGCTCAGCAAGGGAAAGCTGACTGGTGAAGTAGCTTTGGACAAAATGTGCTTGTGCAGACAGAAGGAATATGCTGCAGGCTGGGCTCTTGCTGGGGGAAGAACATTACCCTGGGAATACAGACCAGATGGGGTTTTGATGGGATGGTCACTGACCCAACTGAGAAGGCTTGATGGTGAAAAACTTGCTCTCATTTTTTTGTTTGTTTGTTTGTTTTTTGTCTGAGACAAGGTCTCATTATGCAGTTCAGGCTGGTGTTGAGCTCACTTTATAGCCCAGGCTGGCCTCAAATTTGCAACGATCCTCCTGTCTCAGCCTCCCAAGTGCTGGGATTACAGGCTTGTGCCACCATGCCCGGCTTGAAAAATTTGCTTTCTTTCTCACTTAGTCAACAAGTAACCTTGATTGAGCATGCGGCACTGAGGTAGACTTGGTATGGTATTTCCTCCAGCCACTCTCAAATTTGGTGGCAGGTATATGCGTACTGAAACAAGAGAAAAGGCACAGAGGTGGGTCGTGGAGGAGGCAGAACAGGTGTGCTGGACAGAGGGGATTCAGGATTCAGGGCGATGCCTTAGGGTGCTTCCCAGGTGGGTGAGGCAAGGAGCCTGGCCAGGGCTTGAGGGTAAAATGCGCGACCAAGGTGACCTCTGGCAAGCTCTCTCAAAGCTGTGTCCACTAGGGAGGCTGCTGACGTCCTTGGGAGAAATACAAAGGCTCTGAGAGCAAGGGGTGGGGCACAGGGACTGAGGAGAGGACGGTGTGTGAGTCTCAGGAGATGGTCAGCGGGGTAGGGCACAGTAAGTGGACAGGGAAAAGAAGAAAAGGGAGCAGCCAAGGCCCATTCCTGGCTTGGGTGATGGAGCAGACGTGTACCACCAGCCAGCATGGTGGGCCCGAGGGCTGGCCTGCATGTGGTGTACACATGGGGCTGGTGACTCTGGGAACATTGCTATGTGAGGACATTTGGGTGGATGTGTCCTACGAGGAAGTGAAGAGAGAGGACTGGGGTCAGGAGGTGAAGGAGTCAGTGCCCAGCTCCATTTGCTGGACCACCCAGAGGGCAGGACAAAACGTGACTCAGAAACAAGCTCCCAGCAGAGGAGCCTTACGGCCCTGAGCACGCTGTACCAAACACACTGTAACAAAGAACGCAAGTGCTAGCAGAGCTCTGGGCAACCCAGACCTCTTCGCACCACCTCGCATCATTCCCAAGACCATCTGGGGCCCCTTAGTGTTACTCTGAGTGGCAAGCTCATTTGTCTCTGGCCGATGAGATGAGGACAACAGGATGGGGAGTCACCACCCCATGCAGAACACCTGCCACAGGCAGACCCAGGGTAGTGCACTGCCACCTTCAAAAGGATCCAAGAGATGAGCACTGCCTTCTCCTTTCTAGTGATAATGAAACTGCGGCTTAGAGGCTGCTCCAAGGTTACACAGTTAAAAGTGATGGTTCCAGAATTCCCACACCTCCTCTGACCCACAGCCTGCACCTCTAATGATTGGTAGACTGGGAAGGAAGGTTATCTGTGTTATTCCTAGATTTTACATAAATGTAAAAAATAATTTCCCTCCAGAAGAAATGCCTGATGGAAGGTGAGGGACAATGACTTCCCAACTGAGAAGCGACACCGGTAGACGAGAGCCCTGGCTTCAAGGGAAAGCATAGTACAAACCATTCTGGATGGAAGGAACACAAGGGTGAAGTTAAGTGACCCTGCACTGGGCATCTGACTACCTGGTGGTGTGAGGCTTTGGGGATGCTCTCCTTATGGCAAACCCCAGCAAAGCAGAGAGGCCAACACACACTTGCTAGGAGTCCCCACTATCAAAGGGACAACATGGAAGAAAACAGACAAGATGTGCTAGAAATTTCATCTCTCAGAAAAAGAGAGGGGCAAAGCTGCTGCCTGGAACAACTGATTCCAGAAAAAGGGCGTGTGATGAGGAGGACACAGGGACAAAGGGCTCCAGTCAGTCGGGAGTGTGTAACAGGAGCGGGGGAAACGCGCACCCTGGAATTTGGAAGACCAGCTTCTAACAAGTGATAAACAAGAGCAAGTCCCCAGGGCCAGAGCTGCTAAAGGGAAAAGGGAACGGAAGGCCTCAAGGGAGGTTGGAGCCTCTCTTCCACGATACTGATGAAGCTGCAGATGGGTTCAGCCAGGGAGAAAAGACAAGGCACAAAGAAATGTGCCAGGTCACATGGGGACCTCCGATGAGCTCAACTTCAGAGCGGACACCAACAAAAGAGGGACGACAAAGCATGGAGCAGGAGGGGCAGGACCTGGAAGAGCAGTGTAGCAGAAAGGGCCTTTGCTCCTGAGCTGGACCACGTGGAGCAAGGCAAGGAAGGGGCTGCTGTCCAGGGTGGATCCTCTGTCACCAAACTGCTCCTATGCGGAGCCCCCCTTTCTCTCAGGATGACTGTCTAGCTGGAAATGGGAAAGAGAAGCCTGACACAGATAAGCAGCCAGTGACAGCACAGAGTTGCCTGAATAGCTTGAGGCGCTGGCTCTAAGGAGTCGCATACTGAACTAAAAGACCTCGTAAGAGGGCAGGATGGCACCTCCATAAAACACTCCTTAGGAATCTGGAGCATCAGCTACCAAAGTAACAGAATAAGGGACCAAAGAAAGCCAGTAGAACATGGAATGACATGGCCAAAGGTTTGCCGTTTACCTGAAGCACCAGTGTGGGATGTCAAGTAGGGATACTGGTGGCACGTTAGGACATGTAGAACTGCACGGTGGGAAAGTGATTTTTGTCTCACGTAGTATTTCGGATTGTGCCAAGTAGAGAGGCTCAGTTTGGGTCTAGCACTACTTTAACGTTACTTTTCTAATACTTTACTTTTATTTTTATAATACAGACCAACAGTAAAACAATGCAGGACTCATGTTGAGTCTGGAAGGCAGGAGTATTTAGAATTTAGTAGTATTATTTTGTTTTGCAGTCTTTATATTTTTAAACATACCTTCTTTTTATGGCAAATGATACCAATTTCTACTTAAGAAATATCTTTGAAGGAAATTTATTACACCAAAAAAAGGTAAGTCAATTTAAAGAAAAATAGGAAGACTGCAAAACAAATACAATTGAGCTCTAGTAATAGTCATTAGGGTGGTACTGAAATTATTACTGCTGTTACTGCTAGCTAGTACTTATATATTTATTGCATGCCAAGCTTTCTTCCAAGTGGCTTCCTAAATGAACTCATTCAATTTTCCCACAACCCCACAGGACAGGTGGTATTTTTTATTCCATTTTATGCTGTCAATAAGCCATAAAGGTAGAAGTAGTAGAGACGGGATTTGAACTCAGCATGGCTTTAGGGCATGCCTTCTTAGCCTCTACACCACAGATCTAGATAGTTGCAGATACTTAGAAAAATAAGGAGGACAGTACTGTGAGCCAGCTGGGGTTCCCTAAATCCAAAAAGGGTCCATGCTAACTTCACTTCTTATAAAAACAAAATTTAAAAAATAACTAAAACTAAAATAGATAAAAATGAGACTTCTAGACAAAGAGATCAGGTGGTATCAGAGCTGTTGCATAGTGATTTCGCCTGAGCCTCTGACAGTCTCTCATGGTAACTGGGTAGAGGAGATAGAGTAACAGGAGATGAGAACAGAACTGTCAGGATTAACAGCATTCAGGAGGAGTTGCTCCTGCTTCCTGAGAACTTTATACTTTTCTGTCAGTAATTTAAATAATGAGAAGAAATTCTTACTGAGCCTGTAAGTAACACAAAGCTAGGAATGAGCTAACACAAAGAGATAAGGAAGCACTAAAGAGTTTCCTAAAGGCCAGAGCTGAGGACTGAGTCCAACCAGTGATGATAACAACAACAGAGAGCCACAGCAGTATCTGTTGAACATCTGTGACATACAGTTCTCTAAGCCCTTTACATGTACTGCCCCAGTCTTCACCAACCCTTAAAAGTAGGCACTGTTACCATCTCCACCAAACATTCAGGAGAGCCGAGGGTGAGAGACGCTACTTGCTTAAAAGGAGCCATGCTTTCAATCTAGTCTGGCCCTAGAGTGCTGAATTAAGGTTCCAAGAGTCAAGGGTATTAACACTGTGGTGACTGGGGTGGAGTTTCAGCTTCACTGGGTTTGGGATACGCCCTTGGCATTGTGGGAGCGTATTTCCAGGTATGTCTGGGTGGATCATACAGGTATTGGCCTGGGGTTTATGTCTGGTCCCTCAACCCTTATGCTCTGGCACTGTTCCCCTCTTCAGCTTTCTGGCTGCCATGAACAAAGCAACTTTGCTTTGCTACACTCTTCTGGCATGATGTTTCTGACTTTAGAGTCAGATGACCATGGACAGAAACTGTGAACCAAATTAAACTTCTCCTTTTTTAAAATTGTTGGTATCAGGTACTGTGTCCAGCAACAGAAAGGCCAACTAATACAAAAAATTGGTACTAGGAGTGGGGTTGTTGCTATGACTGTACCTCACTGTGTAGTTTAGAAGCCTTTAGAACTGGTTTGTGGACATTTGGAAAGGTTTGGAAATGTGGGCTACAGAAATCTTCAAATGTATTATAGCTTAATGGGTGGGTGATTCTAGCCAGACTGCAAAAAACCACAATATTGACAGTAAAGGCCAGGATCAGGAGGCTTTAGTCGAAAACAAGGACTCCACTGGCACATGGACTACTGGTTGTGTGTCACACCCTGGTTAAGAAATTTGTCTGCATTTTGCCCATGTCCTGAGACTATGCAAGAAACTGAGATTAAGGACAAGAAACTAGATAATCTGTAAAGGAGATTTAAAGACAATCTAACATTTAAGCTGTGCCATGGACACTACTGGCTGGTTTTAGCCAGATTTATAATGAGAATTGTGCGCAAAACCAAAAATTTTGAAAAACATAAATTTTGGTGCAGGAAAAACCATGTATAAAGTTGAGGCCAAAGGAGGTGTGGCTAACAAGAAGATTAGTATCATTAGAAAGAAAGTACTTTGTATAGGGACAAGAAAAGATGACTTGAGGGTACCTCAGGAATCAGCAAGACCTCAGCCATTGCAAGGTCAAGGTTGCAAATGTTTAGACACTTCCTTTGAGAAGACTGTCCCTGGGATTCTTGCTTGACAAGGGCCTCCTAGGGAACTGGTTCCCTGGGATTCATTTCACTGTACTCAGCCATCCAGGAACCCAGAGGCTGCTATAGTCATGACCCAAAAGGGCCCAGCTACTGCTTGAGGGGGCAGACAATCTTGGTGTTTGCCTATGTGAAGCTGGTTTTACTGACATGCAGACTGCAACAGTTGTGGAGTCAGGAAAGCTTCTACCCAGATTTCAGGGGAAGGAGCCCTGAAAGGGCAGAAAATGAAGCCATGAGACTGGGGTGCAGTGGAGACCCCAGCAAATTAATGATGACAGAAATATGGAATGAGGAAATAAGTGTGATGAGGAAGCCTGTAGAACGAAGTAGAACCAAGAGGGGCCATATGGGTTTCAATAAGCAGGGCTGTAAGGGTGACTGCCAAAGCCCTCTAGAACTGACATCTTTTCATCATGTGCTCCAGATGTCAGATATGGAGGTACAGACTTAGTGTTTATCCTGCTGGGTTTTGGTCTTTCTTTGGTCTGACTGCTTTCTGTTCCCCAACCCTACTTTTTGGAATGGGAATGTTTACTCTATGCCAGTGGTGGTGAACCTATGGCATGCAAGTTATTGTACTTTTCTTTTAAGACAAAAGATGCTAATGTAGAGTTATTTTTTCTAAACTAAAATGTCAGTATTCAGGTCTATTTGAAGTACTGGCACTTTGTAATAAATAAGTGGGTTCTGAGTTATAGTTTGAGCACTTAGTCTCTAAAACGTTCACCATCATTGCCATATACCATTTTACCTTGGGATTATGTAACTTGCTTTTGATTTTTATAGAGCTTCAGAGGTAAGAGGTTGCCTTGAGTCTCAGAAGAGACTCGGACTTCTGAAAAATGCTGGAACTGTTGAGATCAGGAAGGGACTATTGCATTTCTGGTTGTATGGGGAGTAGTCTTATTATATTAGGTCAAATTATGAACTTGCTATTGTTTTTATTTGGAGATTAAGTCTGGTTTAAGGAGATATGTTTGGGTGTGAAGTTGACAAGGAGTGAATTATGACTATTAATCCTGATATGTCAACTTCATTGGATTAAAAAATGCCTAGCAGATTAATAAAGTATGCTCCTGGCTATGTATGGCTAAGTCATGGTTTTGAGTATTATATATGGTCCTCACTCATTCTTCTCTGGCGCTGTTCTCAACCACCACGAAATAAGCATCTCTGCTTTGTCTGCCATGATGTTCCTGTTTTGGAGCCAGTTTACCATGGGCCCAGTCCCCCTAAAGCATAAGCTAAATTAAACATCTCCTTCTTTAAGTTGTGAGTGCTGAGTACTGTGCCCCAGAAAATGAAAACACTGACAAGTGCTAAGAGGAGAAGCTGGTTCAATGCCAAAATTAAGACACAGTCCACATGCGCTCTTTTGACCTTAATGGAAGTCCAAAGTTATGTTCAGATATCTGGAGGGGTATCACATAGAGTACAGGGGAACTTATTTTGTGTTTTCTCTGTTGCACAACTAAATGGGGGTGGAAGTTGAAAGTGATACATTCATTGCGGGAAGAAATTTTTAAAACGTTGGAGCTGAGCACCCACATGATAGACTCGAAGACTTGGAAGTATTTTAGCAGCAGTGGTGAGCTGTCTGACTGGGACAACACATATAAGAGCTCTTTGCTACCTATGGGACTCTTTAGAATTAGTAGAAAATCTTATTTATTGTATCAGGTGAGAAAGTAGTAGACTGTTCTTCTCCAAAGTACTACCTATTCCAACTCCTGTGTAACCTCACTTTCAACATGGATTGCTCTGGCATGCTGAACTACACACTGGGGAAGAAACCTTTGGAGACAGTGAAAAGCAGATCACTCATATCAGGTGGTTCAAAATAATATTTGATTTTGGCATGTGTTTCTGAATATACACTTCACAAGGAACATATGCAGACATATCTAGCAGGTAGGGCTTTCATGATAAAAGTACCCCTAGCACACCGACTTCTGTTATGTAAACAGTGATGTGTTTCCATGGAAAATGGTACAGTGGAATTCCTCTTACTTTTTACAGCCCTATTTAGGTGGTACACATGCTCTTTCTGTTCCAGCACTTACCTGGGGTGGGCAAAGCCACAACCAACAGACGGTTCTGAGGCAGCGAGGATGAGGCAAGAGGAAATTGCCTTCTGCTTATTATAAGAGACCCATGCCTGAGGTCGACAGGAAGAAGACGGAGCTTCCTGTCCTTGGGGTGTCCATTTGGTCCAAACAGGAGATTTATGGGTCACACTGGGGCTGGACTGGCACATCTATTCTAGCCCTGGGATTCACGTTCTGTACAGCACAGTGTCACACTGCACACATTTGAATTGGAAATCACGCCACTTACCCGCCCTCGCTCTGTGAGAGTTGTCAACATGACAATCAGTGACAACTTCTGATCCCAGACGACTTGCCAAAATTGTGCACAGGTATGTGGCAGGGGCCCCTGAGTGGCAATATACTTGTTCATAAGGTGAGCAGCAGGAATTTCCATCTGGTAAGAGGTTGGTAAAGTATTAGAGTCTGTGACTGCCACAAAGTAGACAAAGGTCTGCCTTTCAAAACTGTTCTTGCTGACTTGTATCACACCAGAAAAATCAAATGAGAAAAATCAAAGAAAAAGTTATTTCTAAAAATTCTTGTGAAAGATTTGACAATAATGCCAGCATTAAGATCTTTAAGATTAAACTGTATGGTACTTGGTCGGAACAACCTAGAATGTCCCTTTTAACAGGACAGAGTTTAAAAGACTTTGATTGTCCTATCCTAAATATAACCAATTATCAGCCATATGCACTTTCAGCAATCGTCACCTTAAGTCTTTTCCTATGCAGTATTTGCTACCAAAATTTGTTTTTATTTACTTGCTTTTTAAAGTTTTTTTGGAATATACTTCATATGCCATGAAATCAGAGTAGGGACTATCTTGTGTAAAGCATAAACAACAGAGAATTATAACAACTTTAGCCACACCTTGCTTTCTGCATGCCATCTAATGGTTGTATCACTAAGTTGGTCAATCTTGACATCAAATGCTGAAATGCTTTAAAGTGACATTTCTTTCATTCTGTTCCATTTTCCCCTTTTCCCCTCTGGACTAAGTGCTTTCTGAGAAAGCACACTCAGAACTCTCTGAGCTTCACATTGGCACTGTGGCCCACCGTTCTTAGGGTGGAAGGTGAATGAAGGATCCCAACTTGTGGATTGGTTAGTGGTTGAGCTAATGGCTTCCTTGATCCTGGATAACATGGAAAGACCAGACCTTTTGTAGGGCTGCTGCTTCACCATTTCTGAACGCTGAAGCGAGGGCCCATGTATCCAGTCTCATAGATGTTTTAGAATAAGAGGAATCATTGGGCAGATCTTTTTTTTAGGGAAGTTCTAGATATTTCGCTGTAACTTGAGATGATATCTGAGAAATCCTGTTTATTTAGATCAGGGTTTAGTAGACTCTGGCCTGAGGGCTGATCTGTCTGGCACCTTGCAAACTAAGTGTAGTTTCCAACATTTGTAAATGGTCACATTTTAAATGCAAAGACAAATATTTACTATATGGCCCTCTACAGAACAAGTTTGCTGACCTGAAGTTTAGATGAAACTGAAGTTCACAGAACTAAAGTTCGGATGCATTTTCAGAGGAAAAAAAAAGAATTCCTTTCGTCCAATGTGTAAGTAAGCCTTTTCCTTTTTCCTTTTTGGATTATATATATGAGGCGGTCTTATTTTTCTTATTTTTAGGCAAGCTGGCATTAATTACATGGGAGAAGCCACAGAAAGTTACTAACACACCACTGGCAAAACCAAACACCTTACGGGCAACTGCCCAGTACAAAAGCATGTGGACGACAGAATGAGAAACATAGGATACATTTCAGTCCCATCTGCTCTTAGCTTTGTGGCTTTTCAAATTATTCCACCTCTCTGAACCTTAGTTTTCTCCTCTGTGAGATCAGACTACTCCCCTTCCCTCACATGGCTGTCCAGCTGAAATGTGCAAGAGGGCACTTGGTCAGTTACAACGCACCCCTCTGGCTGTTCAGGCCCTCCTTACAATGATGAGCATGCTCTCTCTTACACCCAGATTCTTAACTTACATTCACATAACTTGCATTAATATAATCTTCATGTCCCTGCAATAATACCCGGGTGGTGTCATCTGTGGGAGAGAGGAAAATTTACCGATTATTCTGAGCGTTATTTTTATCACACCAAGTAAACAAGGGTTCAGTTCCCAGCCCCATCTGCAGCTCTTGCCTCATTAGCATAAACACTATTCCCCAACTGTTCAGTCTGAAATGGCTGCAGCAAAGACGGCGGTGTTTACAGACACACTGGAAATCGTTCCAGAATACCAGGCAATCTGTTTTAAAAAGGGAAACATTATCTCAGTGCAGGGGGGGAAGGAGCGCTCATGTTAGATACTCACAAGGCAGCACATCTTTATATCGATTTTTATCCAAATTCTGAGGCAGCTTTGCATAGGTGATAGCCAAACCTGGCTTCTTTCTGTAAAGTTGCTGTATGACAAATAAAGAGGTAAAAAAAAAAAAATCACTGCAAAAAACAGCTGTGAAGGAAGCATGAAGGAATACTTTTAACGGTAAAGTTTACCACGCACGGCCCCAAAATCTTAACATTTTAAAGTAATTATACGTTACCCATTAAAAGACAATCTTGCCAAAAAGAAATTCTCTAATCCTAGGAGAAACCAACTAAATTCTTTAATTTTAAAAAAAAATTTGAGGATTTTGAGGGGAAAAAAAGCCAAAGGCAGGGGTGAGTCACAGATAATGGATCCTGGTAAGTAAAACCTTATCTTTATGACAATTATTTGACAAATGCTGAAAGCATCTAGAGGAGGAAAAAAGAACTGTCTCAAAATTAAATGGAAATCATCTATCTAAATTAGTCTGAAAATCTCATTTCCCTCTGATCTGATGCAGTGAACCGTATCCTCTGCTCAAGAGTAAGAGCATCATTCATCATTTCAGAAGTATATTTCTTCAGTGAAAACATTTACCCCAACACAGCAAGCTTCATTTAAAGAGCTGTGTCCCTATATATGCAATCACTAACCCAAAGTTTGAAACAAACCATCTTTGCCCATCTACCAGCATGCTACAGTATCTGCCAGGATTTTCCCCCCAGCTGTGTGGGAGGTATTACCATATTCTTATTTGGTAAGTGGCAGCCCGAGGTTAAATGCTTTGCCCAGGATCACAGACAGGAGGATGAACTCAGATCTGCTGCCAAGGCTTATGTTTTGTTTTTGTATAGCTATTTCTTCCACTTTGGCAACTAGAGCTAAGTCCCTTTTCACTGGTGGTTCTTACAAGCAATCTGGGAATTTAAAAGCAACTTTTTTTTTTCAATTTGGAAAGTAGTATTTTTTCTTTTGCAGAAAATTTGAGAAATTCATACAGAAAAAAATTATAAACTATTTCACAACTCTGAGAGGACCTTTTCATATATTTTTCTAAGTTTTCCATACATTCATACATACAAATGTACAAATATATATATGAATACATATAATACATGTATACATTACATTTTTTTTGGTTTTTCTGCGGTACCGGGAACCGAACTCACGACCTTGCGCTTGCCAGGCAGGCGCTTTTGCTGCTGAGCTAAATCCCCAGCCCCTATACACTACATTTTTAAAAACAAAAAGTAAGACTGAACTATGTACTGGCATTTTTCACCTTACATTCAATGGAAAGTGAATGCCTTAAAAGAAGACAGTACTCTTTAAAAAATGTTTCCAAGTCAAACAAATTTGGCGAATATTCACCTTGTGTTCTATAAATCTCTAACAAGATAAATCCTACAATGCATAAGCTTGTAGGATCAGCTCAAGCTAATCTGGCTATGTAGGACCTCAGCATCTCCCAAGAGCCTCTTAGAGATCGAGTGCCGTACTGCAATGCAAAACCCATTTATTCATTGCAAAGTGCCCACACTGCAATTAAACCTGAATTTTAGGTTTTAGTTTAGAAAAAACAACTCTACACTAGCATCTTTTGTCTTAATAAAAAACACAATAACAACTGTGCCATAGGTTTGCCACCACTGTGCTATCTTGTCCATCCTGGGCTCAAATTTGTGATTCTCCTGCTTCAACTTCCAAGAGAGCTGGGATTGCAGGCATGTGCCACCTTGCCTGGTTTAATAATACTCTATCTTTTACATTTACCAAACGTTTTGAGTTTCTAACCTCTCCAACAGCTCAGGTATTGACCACCTGTACAGTTTCACCTCCTAGCAATCCAGTCGCTGCTAAACAACTTTCTACACACCTGCAGGCTCTAATGGACTCTGACTTCATTCCCAAATAAACTCATCATTTATTGGAGGTTTTGATTTGACACTGGCAGAAGGATGACATCTGAGCCAGCTACCTTTATCTAAATGGCATTTTAGTCCTAATTGCATGGAGGTATAATCCAATTAAGCTGAGGTAACTTATAAATCTAACCTGGAAGAAGATTTTATATATATATAATTTTTTTTAAATAACAAAAGTGTAAATACAATCAACTTGAAGTCTACCAGACCAGTGCAGACCTAGCAAAAGGCTTTAAGTAGCACAAACTTTTAAATGTATCTCAGTAGTAATGATCTATTGACAGGATTATATAGTACTCAAAGAAATGTACTATGTCACTACTCAAAAAATTATAAATGTGCCCTCTCTGGGTTTCATTTAACAGAAATACATAATGAATCATGTCAGAAAAGTTTATCTATGGCAAAATATTTATTTGCAGAAACACATATATGGCTGAACATTCCCCAATAAGGAAAGGTGTTGACATAATTATGGTACAGTCATACTACAAAATTCTGTGCAAATAATAAGAGTAAAAACAGATTTATAAGGACATCCACTCTTCTACGCTGAAGTTAAAACTGCATGTTATCAAATAATACACACAATGGTGGTAATATACACCAGCACATGTAGTATATATAATGTGCATATGCACAATCCTCTGTGCACATGTGCACTTGTGTGTGTTATGTGTACTAAATGTATTTTCAGGAGTACTGAAAAAAGTATGGAAGGATATGTGCCAAACTGTTGTTTGTAAATTATGACTAAGAGGCAGAAACTGAATAGGATGGAGGTTGGGAGATTACTACTTTTATTTTGGCTACTTCTGTATTATCTGAAATATGACAATGACTATGTTTTGAATTCAACTAACGAAAGTGAGAAAAAGGAATATCACAAAATACATATATTCAAAAATTATAGAGTACAAAAATTTCAGGGAAAGCTGGGTGGACACATTTAAGTTTGTTCAAGCTTTTTGGCCTTTAGAAGCTTTGACAACATACTCATGTTCACATCCACTCTGCAAGGGTTAACACTGAGCAGGACTGAAGCAATCCGTGGGAATGGGATTCAAACACTTTGTCTCTGAAGTGTTAAGAGCTGGCTTTCCAGTTCCTTTACAGAAACCACACCTCCCCACACTCTGCAGGCTACTGTGCTGGTGGGCAAAAACCCTCTCGGATATGAGGGAGATGGAGTAGAAAGGGATGTGCTGGAAATAGGTACGTCTTGGGAGGGTCAGGGGCAGAGGAGAATGAGTTGAGGCTTGATGACATTGGCCAGAGTTCAAGATGAGGCTTTTAAAGGAACTATTCACTGGACAAATACAATTTGCTTTAATTATTCCCAGGCAGCAGGTATGTGAGGCAGACAAGGGCTCTTGGTAACAGATTCCCTAAACCCCACCGGTGCTATGATGGGGTCAGCCACGGGGCTGTAAGGTGGGGTCAGAGATGAAGGGTTATAAAACCACTTAGGCTTATACGAAACTATTCATTTTTGTGTCCTAAAATGCACTGATCTGATCCTACCAGAGTGTCATTCTAAGAAGCTCTGAAACTAAGGGTAACTTATGAAAAGCATGGCTGAGAGGGGTTGCTAAGGAACAGCAGTACTTAAATTACAGCATCAATATCTCTAGCTCTGGCCTTCAAGACAAAAACTGAGGTAGAGGAGCTGTTGCTCCACAGGGCAGCATGGGTAGTCCAGATCAGAAGCCGGGAATTTGGAGTTCAAATGTTTCTTCTTTTGTGTCGTAGAGAGGCATCAGGGGAAGACTCTCAGTGGCCCGCACTTGTCAGCCGAAGTAGTGAAATCTAATCATCACATCCCTTGCACAAGGGTTTCGGACTCACAACCAACTCCAGTCTGAGGCTGCTGGCATAGGAAAGGAAGCACTCCCTGGCACCTCCAAGGCTGAGAACCCAGGGAGGAGGAAAACAGGGGAGGAGAAAAGGAATTGAGGGGACCAGGGGTAAGGAGTGAGCAAACAGGGAAAACAGAATCATTTTCACGCCCTCACCAATAACCAGGTTCAGCTTCAGGCAGTGGCTTTTTTGGTTGTTGTTCTGGGGGTTGAACCTAGGTCTTTTGTAGTGAACCATACTTTCAGCACTTTATTCTTTTTTTGAGGCAGGGTATCCTTAAATTGCTAAATTGCCCCTGTTGGGCTTAAAATTGTGACCTTCCTGCCTCACCCTCCCAGGTGCTTGGATTATGGGCATGCAAGACTTCATCCAGCTCAGGGCAGTGACTCTGCAGACAGCTCTTGACTGTCTGCTCCCTCTGTCAATCACTGTTACCTTAACAAAGATGGGCATCTTGATTGTTTTGTTGACCACTACAGACGCCTAGGCCACCAGTGTGCCTGGCAGATAGGAGGTGCTCAATTAAAAATACTGTGGAGGGAGGGGATCATGGCATCTACTTGTAAAATGGGGTGCAAACTACGTGAATAAAGCATGAGAGACGGCAGACTGGGCTCTTAAACATGGCGCTATGTAATTAAACTGAGAACTCAGTCTTCATAAAAAGCCCAAGAGGTTGTTTTCCTAGTGCCACCTATCATAAGCATCTTTTCCACAGTGGAGGCATCCAGTCTCTCTGTGCTGTCCCAGCCAGAGGACAAGAGGCAGTGTTTAGAGGGCACCTGGTGCGTCTACCTATCTTCTCATAAAGATGTACTACACTGAAATGGCTGCTGGTAATTTTGAGATTTTCTTATGGTTTAGATTTTAAATGTCACCCAAAGGCCCACGTGTTAAGGTCTATGGGGTTCCCAGCAGGAGGTAGATCCTGCAGGAGGGGGAACTTTGTGGAAGGAAGTTAGGTGACGGGGGCCATGTACTTTAAGAGGATACTAGGATCCTGGCCTTTTCCTCCGCCTCTGCTTGCCACCAGGAGGTGAACAGGTTTGCTCCACCACATACTCATACCAGGGTGCTTCTGCCTTGACCCAGGCCCCAAATCAACAGAGTAAAATGACCATGAGCCAAGATAAATCCTTCCTCTTTTTAAGATGACTGTCTCAGGCATTTTGTCACAGTGATAGAAAACTGACTAATGCAGATTTCAACAATGCTATTTCAACACACAGCCCCAGATACACATTCTGCTGCCATCCTGGTCAGTACTCCAGCAGGCCTTTTCACACATGTACAGTGGGGCAACATGTCT